CTGACAAAACCCATGTATTGCCTACACTTACTGTCTGACAAAACCCAAGTATTGCTTACACTTACTGTCTGACAAAACCCATGTATTGCCTACACTTACTGTCTGACAAAACCCATGTATTGCTTACACTTACTGTCTGACAAAACCCATGTATTGCCTACACTTACTGTCTGACAAAACCCAAGTATTGCTTACATGTGATCTCGCTGACTGACTGACGGACGGACTGACTTACTGTCTGACAAAACCCATGTATTCCCCACAGTGGTGTCGGTAGCCTAGTGGTTAGGCTACCTGACTCGTAATCGTGAGGTTGCGGGTTCGGGGTTCGAGCCTCAGCTTGGTCCGACGTTTTGTCCTTGGGAAAGGCACTTTACACGAACTTCCCACTTGGCTCGGTCCTATCGGAGACGGACGTTAAACTAGGAGGTCCCGCCCCTTAAATAGCCTAATAGTGTTGATAGAGGCGTTAAACCCATACCCATTATATATTCTCCACAGGTGATCTCGGAGTTCCTGAAGGGCAACATACCGAACGTGCCCAAGGTCTACCTGCCCATGATTGACGTGCGGGATGTGGCCCAGGCCCACCTCAATGCCATGATCCTTCCCCAGGCGGCCGGTACGAGATGCGATATAACAGTCCTCATCGTCATCGTCATCGTCATTGTCATCTTCATCATCATCGTCGTCGTCGTCATAGTCGTTGTTGTAGTCGTTGTCATAATCACTATTGTTGACTGCAAAAAGACCCCCAAAAAACTATGGAGACTTGTAAGATTTTCGAGATCATCAGTGATAATGATAATAACAGTGATGATTTAAATGGTGAAATGATGATGATGATGTTGATGATGATGACGAGGATGATGAGGATGAGGATGAGGATGAGGATGAGGATGAGGATGAGGATGAGGATGATGAGGATGAGGATGTATAATTACGTATAGGATGTAATTTGTGTTATGTATTATGTAATATGTATTATATAACGTGTATTGCGTTTTATGTAATATAATATGTGTATGCGTTCATGGAGGTGTTCGTGTATGTGTATATGCATACATACATATAAACATAATATGAATATGTGTATGGCTCTTTTCGTCTATGCATATGGTCAATTTAGCTTAGGATGGTTTCAAGGTTGTCTTCACTCAGCTTCTTTCATGGCTAATTCTTCCTATGTTTGAGGCGCAGATTCTGTCGCAGAGCTTGCATGTCAGTGAGTTGGACTGAAACTCTGTATTTCCGCTGCACATAATATGCACATGTACACGAATTAAAAATGTATATGTATAATGTGTGCGGGAGCGTGTGTCTGTGTGCAAGCGTGCGTGAGAGTGCTGTTGTGGAGGCGGGAGTGTGTGTGTGTGTGTGTGTGTGTGTGTGTGTGTGTGTGTGTGTGTGTGTGTGTGTGTGTGTGTGTGTTTGTTTGTGTGTGTGTGTGTGTGTGTTGTGTGTGTGTGCGCGTGCGTGGGTGTCTAGCTCGGTGTTAAATTAATCTTTTGCCGAATACAATTCCCAATAATTCCCCAAATTCCCGCAGGACAGCGGTATATCCTCGGTGCTGTAAACGTCACCCCAAGAGAGATTGCGCACACCCTTCAATATGAATTTGGACCTCTAGGTAAGGCCATTCATTCATTCATTCATTTATTCATTCATTCATTCAT